TGAGCTGTTAGGTTGTCTTTTTAAGAAAAAAACTAAAGAGCCAGTTTAGGGTGATTCCTAAGAAAACACCAATGTGCACATACACGCTCATATCATTCTTGAATGAAACATAACCAAAACATTTATATATATATATATATATATATATATATATATATATATATAATATTCCTTTATGCTTCACTGTATCCTGTTACAATAAATATGATCATATCTGCATACTAGAACATTCGAATAAACAACTGAAAATAACAAGTTTGTGACTAATATTTTGCCATAGGCTGCACATTTTATATATTTTTTAATTGATTTTTTTACAGAGAGGAAGAGAGAGGGCTAGAGAGTTAGAAACATCGATGAGACAGAATCACCGATCAGCTGCCTCTTGCACACCCCCTATTGGGGATGTGCCCGCAACCAAGGTACATGCCCTTGACCGGAATCGAACCCGGGACCTTTCAGTCTTCAGGCAGACGCTCTATCTACTGAGCCAAACCGGTTTCGGCAAGGCTGCACATTTTTAAAAATAAAGCATGAGGTTATAGTTGCAGAGATCCTTGGATGTCAGGAAGTAAATATCTCTTCACATAGCCACGCCCAGAGGAGGGGGAAGGGCAGCGGGGGGGAGGGGAGGATCCAGAAGGATTGATTGGGAGCGACAAGTGGCCTGCAGGAAGAATCAGGCATCTGGAGAAAGAACCTGGTCCCTTTGGACTTTGATTCAAGAAAGAGCCAGGGATCGCCTTCCGCCGCCTCTGTTGGGTCTAATCAGTTGAACAGATACCAGCTGCTGGGCAGCCTTCCAGCCGAATGATAGACTTTTCCAATCCGTGACAAAAACGAGGGGAGCATCTTGGGTCTGTTATCCTCACGGGAACAACAGCCCGAGTCCGTCTTCACTCAGGCCAGCCAAGCTGATAGGATCTCAGATGCTCTCAAATAAATGTCTCCATTTATCCCTGATGTGTTCTTAGGCAGTCACATAAACGTGGCCCTGGCTGTTCTTTTCATGAAACAACTTTGTTCAGGACTGGCAGGGGATTACATAAGGACGATGCTTCTTGTATTCCTGTTTCATTTTCCTTGCAAACTGTGGCCATGGAACTCACTAGGTCTTTAATGAGCAAAAACCTGACTCGTGCTAACATAAATTGCTATGAAACTTTTATCTAATGGACATACTACCTGGAATACCGTAGGTGTACAACTTTTATGTTTTTACTGATTTCAGAGAGGAAGGGAGCAAGAGCTAGAAACATCAATGATGAGAGAGAATCATTGATTGGCTGCCTCCTGCACACCCCACCCTGGGGATCAAGCCCACAACCCCGGGCATGTGCCCTGACTGGAAATCGAACCGTGACCTCCTGGTTCATGGGTCGATGGCTCAATCATGGAGCCATGCCAGACAGGCATGAATCATTTTTTTTTTTTTTTTTTTTACGATGAAATGAAGAAATTGCCTAGCTAACTAGGAAATGGTAGGCTTTGTGGTTTGAATATTTGCACATTTTAAACCTCTTACTTTAACATCAGCATTTCAGACAAAACCATTGAGGATTCTTTTGTAACTGATGAGACAGTGTGACATGAGCAAGCTTTCGTCTGAAAGTGGCGACAACATAAATTTTTTTTACAAGTAGGGAGATGTGGCTTTTGTATGATGGAGCTTTATGGATGGCTGGTGGTACCCATATCTGCACAGTGATCTCAGCAGATTGCTAGAGAAGCTAGCGGCAAATCCATGTATCGCCCGATACAGCAGTTGTGCCCCAATTTCCCCACCATACTGGGGTGTCCCAGTATGTTGGCATCTCATGAACCAGTTAAAATATAACCACATATGTTCAGGTGGGAGTCATGGTGTAGTTTAGATTACATAGATGTGTATGAATTCATTTTTTTTTTAACTTAAACCTTTTCATGTACTATTTCAAGGCTCCTGTCTTCCATCTCCACAGCCAGTCTGTCCCCACATTTCCCTGGAGGCATGCATGTTGTACTTATACCATGTTTCCCCGAAAATAAGACATCCCCCGAAAATAAGACCTAGCGCATGGAAAGATAAAGACATCCCCTGAAAATAAGACCTAGCGCAACTTTGGGAGAAAAAAATTAATATAAGACACTGTCTTATTTTTGGGGAAACAGGGTATATCTGTCCTGCTCTGTTACCATTCTGAATCTGGAGGTTATATTTAATCCTGTTTTTATATAAGTGACATTCTATTTTCTGTTCCATTCTCCGGCTTCCTCTTTTCATTAGACACTCTGCCTTGGAGGTCTGTCCGTGTTGCTACAGAAACATGTTGAGCTCATTAGACTTAGCTGCGACATAGTATTGCTCAGTATAAATATGTTACAGTTTATTTAGCTTTGCCTTGCTGGGAGAGGTTTATATAGAATTTTATTCCAAGCGTTTGTCGACATAAGGCTTAGGGCATCTTGCATAGCTTGGCAGAGAGCCTATAAGAATCCTTCTACTAGCAAAGTCTGATTAGACAAGTTAGTCCAACTGTGAAGGTGGATATAAACCATGGGAATAAACTAGGGTTACATGAAGAGCAAAAATTAGTGGTCACCAGACAACGTAAGTTCCTTAGTTCTTTCTTAGATCAGGCCACCTGCAATGAGACCAGTATAATCCAAGTCAGAGTGCCCTGCCCGAGCCCGAATGGTCAGCCGGGCTGATTCCGTAACCCGATGGGGGCTGTGGGCACCTGGCTCAATGTAATAATTATAATGTGTCCATTATATATATAATCCCATCCAATGTAATAATTATAATGGCACCCAGGTCACATAAAATCACCCTGGTCATATGATCTGGTTTGGGAAATAGTCTCACATTAACAAAAAAATTTAAGTAGGAATTTTAAAAAGCATAGAGTTATTTAAAAAAAAATAAAAAATAAAAAAACACAAAACACCCACAAACCTGCTTCCCCCGAAATGGAAGATCACAGAAATGCTGCCAGATTCCGCTGAGAGCAATGTTTTTTTGGTGTCACTTGTGTAGTCAGCATGTGGGTGACATTTAGACCCAGGCTCAGTTTACAAGCATGATTCATGAGCACACATCAGATGGCGAACGTGGGGGAAACTTCCCTTGGTGTTCAGACGGAGCAGCTTGCAGGAGCCGCAGAGCTCCGGGCGAGGGCGGAAGTCCCACCACAGGGCGGCACCCCGTTAAAAACAGTCTTGCCCGGAAACTCAGAACCTGAGCTCCAGCCCTCCATGGCAGCCGTTTGGGTCCTTGAAGAGGAGCATGTGGAGGGGAAGGGACTGAGGGGGCGAAGGGGGCCTAACATATGAAGATGGAAGATGATTTGATTTTGAGGGGAGGGCACATGGCATAACATACAGACCTTGTATCATAGAAATCTACACCTGAAACCTATATGATGTATGATATAAAAAAATAAATAAATAAATAAATAAATAAATAAATAAATAAATAAATAAAGGTAGGAAATGTAAGACCCAAACAGCATCAGCATTTGGTGCGGTGTAGGTCTGTGGGCTTATTTTTAACACACTACACAACAATGATGATGGAGGTGATGGTGCTGATGAGGAAAGACCCAGAGAGTCCGGATAGAAACGTTTCTGAAGCAGGTTAGCGAAGCTTCTGCATTAGAAACAGACTCACAGGTGCTTGCCATGGAACTTGAAATGTCTGTTATTCTCCCCCCGTAAAAGGTCTAGATTCGGGTTTCTGGGTTAGCCTTCCTTTGCGCCTATGAGAATTGGTTTAGTCTAAAATCTCTTTTTTCTCCCCCGACCGTGTGCATGCCAGAGCATCTGAGCCGAGTGTTTTCCCTCTCCTGACGCTGTAATGGCAGGCTTGTGACCCGCGACAGCAGGGTTCCTGCTCCACTTAATGAGGGGCTGCCAGGGCCCGAGAAGGAAGGAGGAGGAGGATTTGCCTGCATCGGGCTAAATGGGGAAAGGTTGCTAACTTGGCAAGAGTTGAGGCTGGGCGTGTGTGCCAGCCGTTTCTGTGTGGCCTTGGGGGCAGCCGAATGTAGCTTCTATGTGCGGTAACTTTCCCCAGAACTTTTAGTGAACAGGGACAGGAGGATGCTCTGTTAAAGATGGCGTGGTTCCTTGCACGGACTGAAGGTTCGGCATGAGACAATGATGGGGAGATTTAAAACAGATTTCTGCATTCTTGGGGCTTTGCAGTCCCAGAGGAACTTGCTGTGATTTTTTTTCCCTTTTTGCTTTGGCTTCCAGGAAGCTCGGGTAGAGATCAACTTAATACTTAAAACGTCATTGTCAGCCTTGGGCTTTGGTGCTGGTCCAGTTGTGTGTTCAGCCATATGCTTTTTAGACAGCGGTGTCTGTCCCCGAAGTGTGTGTGTGTGTGTGTGTGTGTGTGTGTGTGTGTGTGCATGTGCATGCACATGTGCATGTGTGTGTATGTGTGTGTGCTCTGCGAGGTCAGAGGAAAGAGAAACGTTGGCTCTGGTGCAGGCCTCTGGGGAGGCGTCCTGAGAAGAGGAAGCAGCCTTCACTGTTGCCTTTCTATGTGTTTCAGCAGGTGGAGTCATGGTGTAGGTTGGTTATAGCAGGTAGAGGGAGCAGGTCGTCTACAAATGGTTTAGCACCAGGGGCCCATGGGGGCTGACCAGCCAGGGGGAGGGACTGCAGGCGGTTGGCTGTGGGGGCACACTGACCACCATGGGGCAGCTCCTGCGTTCAGCACCTGCCCATTGGTGGTCAGTGCGCATCATAGTAACTGGTCGACGGGTCATTCTGGTCTTTCGGTCATAATGGTCACTTAGGCTTTTATATATATAGATGCTCTGCTCCTCATGGATTTGCCCATCTGAGCTCTTTACTAAGATGGACTTCTGGCCTCATCCCAGTCTGGTTCCACTTGGAACCTCGACAAGGGAATGGGGGGTGGGGGGAAGGTGGTGACCTTGGCTCTCTTGGTGACAAGTGTGCCTTTTTGTGACCGAAATGAGCAACTTTGCTGCTTCTCCCCGCAGGACCCCCGGAGCAAGCACAAGTTCAAAATCCACACCTACGGGAGCCCCACCTTCTGCGACCACTGTGGGTCGCTGCTGTACGGGCTCATCCACCAGGGGATGAAATGCGACAGTAAGTACAGTCCCCTTCCCAGCCCGCGGCCAGGCTCCGAGCCTGTGCCAGGGTTCCCTGAGCGCGGCGGGTGCAGTAGCGTTTCAGCTCCAGCTCGTCCAGAAGGAGAACTCATTCCGATACATACCGGGCCAGTAAAGTGTAGGATTTTATCCCAGCCAAAGTTCCGGTTTATTAAACTACATAACTGCCTAATTATGGACCCCCAGAAAGCACCCAATTTATCCATGACATTGGGGTATATCACAGTTTTTTGGGGGTAGAACTCATCTGTTCCAGTGGAATAAAGGCTCATCAAACCCCAAAGCAGATGCATGTGTTCTTAAAAGACTCAGCACCTCCATGCTCCACGTTTGGTTCGGCTTCAGGATAAGCTGAGCAATCACGGTCAGTATCCTCCTGGGTCTCTAATGAGCGGGCGGATGTGGGAAAATCGGTAGGTTCTCCTTACACGGAAGCCACCGTGAAAATAAGAGGCAGGGTGGCTGCTCACTTACCTTCACTAGCGCTGCGTGTCCCTGAAAAGCTCAAATTCCTGTCTGTCTAACTAGGACGAAATCACACCAGACCATGGGTAGGGACAGCAACCCAGCTCCGTGCTCCTAGTCTGTTCCGTGTGCATCTCCATCGACTACGGGGGGGGGGGGGGGGGGGACCACTATGGGAACTCTTGGCTTTGACAATTCCTATGTGTTGAGATGCATTTCCCAGACTTTTTATTGACTTCGATAAGAGTGTGTACTTTGAGGACACAGGAGGTAATGACTGAGTCTGTTTTTCTAGTAGACAAGAAAGCATCATGGGAATAGCAGCATCTGGCCATTCGTTAATGACTGTGGTTGCGGCCAAAAGCTCTCTATGTGTATCCTAAGTAGGGCAAATATGGCACATAAAAATGAAGACACTTGGACTTTACAGAATAGATGGGTAGTTTCTTAGAACACAGGGTAATCCCCTTAAGCAAGCTGTGGAAAATTTTTAAAAATCATATTAGTGTGTTGTTTTTTTCTTTTTTAAAAAAATATATTTTTACTAGAGGCTCAGTCCACGAATTCGGGCACAGTAGGGTTCCTTGGCCTGGCCTGTGGGATTGGGCTGAAACCTGCTCTCTGACATCCCCTGAAGGGTTCCAGATTGCGAGAGAGTACAGGCCAGGCCGAGGGACTCCACCGGTGCACGATCGGTGCAGGGGAGGGATGCAGAAAGTTGGCCATCTGGGGTGGGACCACGGGAGAGCTCCAGGGTATGCACTACCATCTCACTCAGTCTCGATCAGCTGGACCCCAGCAGCAAGCTAACCTACCAGTCTGAGCGTCTGCTCTCTGGTGGTCAATGTATGTTCCAGTGAGCGGTTGAGCAGCCTTAGCATATCATTAGCATAATATGCTTTGATTGGTTGAACCAACTACCAGACACTAAGCATATTAGGCTTTTATTATATAGGATTGACTTCAGAGAGGAAGGGAGGGAGAGAAAGAGATAGAAACATCAATGATGAGAGAGAATCACTGATTGGCTGCCTCCTGCACACACCCCCTACTGGGTATGTGCCCTGACCAGGAATCAAACTATGACCTCTTGGTTCATAGGTCATCACTCAACTGCTGAGCCACAACATCTGGGCCAAGCTGTGGAATTTAACAGCCTCACGTAACCAAAGACATGGTTTTCAGGGACTCTGCAGGTGTACTTTGGAAGTGCATTTGTAAGGATACTTGTGACTGCTTTCAACATTGGGACTAAAAGGAGCACTTGAGTGTGTAGCACACTCAACCTTGGCACGCTGAGGCTGGCGTGGGAGCCGAATGTTGCCCAGCGTCACTCACTAAGAAGAACGAGTAGCCAGGTGTCTCCTGCTGCCTCCGCTGCTCTGAAGAGTCCTCAGGCCCGCGAGACGGGGAGCTGGTGCGCACCCTTCGGTTGGAGCTGGGGTTCTGGTCCTGCATCACTGTAACAAGAAGCATCAGTAGCCGAAACCAGTTTGGCTCAGTGGATAGGGCATTGACCTGTGGACTGAAGGGTCCCGGGTTCAATTCCGGTCAAGGGCATGTACCTTGGTTGCGGGCATCCAGTACAGGGTGTGCAAGAGGCAGCTGATCGATGATTCTCTCTCGTCAATGTTTCTAACTCTCTATCCCTCTCTCTTACTCTCTGTAAAAAAATCAATAAAATATATTTTAAAATGAAGAAGAAGAAGAAGCATCAGTAAACAAGCTCTTGAGGCTGAACGGGGACTTCACCCAGCATCCCTCACAGCTGGTTTTAAAATGTGTTTAGATCTGAGGTCTCCGTTGGTTGTCCATGAATGTCTTTGTAATAAGTAAATGGCATAAATTTGAATTTATTATATGCTAATGAGATAATACTCATCTGGTTTACATATTAGGATTCCTCTTAAGTCTTCATTGAAAAATGGGTTCTGTTATTTTTTTTTTTTAATCTGAAAACAAGTGCTTTTTAAAAGGTATTTATTTTTATTGATTTCAGAGAGAAAAAGAGAGGGAGAGAGAGAGATAAAAATATCAATGATGAGAGAGAATTACTGAACAACTGCCTCCTGCACGTCTCACACTAGGGACCAAGCCCACATCTCGGTATGTGCCCTGATCAGGAATTGAACTGTGACCTCATAGGTCAGTGCTTAACCACTGAGCCACACTGGCTGGGCTGAAAACTAGTGCTTTTTATTTTGTGTTAAACCCCTTTCCTTGAAGTCCTGAGGCCTCTGGTGGCCACCTGTGCTCCTTCGGGGAGGGAGTCGGTGCCAGGACCCAGCCCCTCCCTCACCTTCTGCAGCGAGAACCCTCTGCCTGCCTGCACGTTGTAGGTCATAATCCTGTGGTGGGAAGAAGCTTATCAGCTGCCTGTCTGGGCCAGCCTCTTAGTCTGCAACGTAAGAAATGGAATCAGAAAGAGCAGATAAGCTTCCCAAGACATAAAAGGCACTAACGGGAGCAGCCAAAACCAGAGCAGAGCCTGGCGCGCCTTCACTTCCCTCGCCCTCCCCGTTGAAGGATCCTTCACAGAGTCTGTGGCCTTTGATTCCTTTACATTTCAAATGCTTCCCAGGCTCTTGAAGGTAATTGCAAGAGTCTGTATCCTTCCTAACCAAAAATACAGGGCTCTGAGCCGTTAACTTTGGAAATGGAAGCCCAGGCAGAGTCCACGTGCGTGAATCAGCCCACTGCTGTTTATTCCCACGCCCGTCATCCTGCCTTCCGGGTTCCACCCCGGCACACAGACATCCTCAGCCATGCTTTCTGCAGTACAGTTCCCCGGCTGAAATTCAGCTCTCACAATGAAATGGCATGAAGGCTCTGCCTTGCAGGTCACAGAGGAGCCTCGTGGCACCCCTCGGGGACTGGAGCCTGAGGGTGCAGGGACCCCGGAGCCACAGCACCCCCACGGGGCCTCGTGTGTGTGTGTGTGTGTGTGTGTGTGTGTGTGTGTGTGTGTGTGCGCGCGCGCGTGTGTGTGTGCGCGCTCCGCACAGGGTTCTTCACAGGGTGTCTCTGGTTCGCTGCAGTGACTAGTCTTTTTTTCATCCTCCCCGCCTCGCCCACGTAATGTCAGCCGGGAAGGAATGGCATATCATGCCAGGCGTGTATTTGTTGTACTTGCAATAATATTTAAATATTTGAAGTCGGGTTTAAAATATCAAATACAAGTTCTTTAAACACACACACATACACCACACACACACACACACACACACACACACACACACTAAACCAAAGGCAATGTATGTTAGCCTTCTTGAAAAATACAGTTTTCTTTGGGAAAGGAAAATGGTATGAATGTCCTCAACTCAACCCACAGGCTCTCATGCTTTCTAAGTGGCGAGCTAGGAAGGCGTAGCAGTTCCTTGGCGGAAAGTGGCCTCAGCTTAAAATATGCGTGTTCTTTGCCTCTGTGTCCATCCCGTGTGGATCCGTCTGCAAACGTAGGCATTGGCCTGTGCGGGCACCGTTGCATGTGTGAAGCGGTCCCAGGAGACCAGGCAGCGGGGTTGCCTCAGTTACGACTGAACCGACAGGGCGTGGGTATTCAGAGGATGTTGTGGTGTGCAGGAAGCCTGTGCCGCCAGGGACATCTGCTCCCAGCTCTCCGTGTGACCAACAACATTGCAACAAAGTATCCGTGTCACCAACAACAGGGTAACAGAGTATCGCGTTAAAGGGTGGCTCGTTTTCACTCGCGCTCCTCCAACCAAAACACGGAGCGAGGGATGGTCCGGGTCCATCTGCCCAGCCTCACTCACCCTCCGCTTTCTCGATCCGCAGCCTGCGACATGAATGTGCACAAGCAGTGTGTGATCAACGTGCCCAGCCTCTGCGGGATGGACCACACTGAGAAGAGGGGCCGCATCTACCTGAAGGCGGAGGTCACGGACGAGAAGCTCCACGTCACAGGTAAGGCCTGCTCCTGGAGGTGGCAGGTGCGTGACTTCCGGACGCAGGCGTTCGGACGCAGGCCAGGGAGACACCGAGGCAGGGCCGGACACCTGGGCTCGCCGTGGCCTCGGGCTGGGCCCCACTCAGAGCCTCGGGTCCCCATCAGCGTGTCTCCTAGGAGACGGCTCTGTCCGCGGATTCGAAATGCTCGATGTCATTCAAAGTGGTAACTGCAGTGTGGATGGGGGACTCTGACGGCGTGGCCAGTGTGGTATCCCCTGGCGACGGAGGGGGGATGGGGAAGGCGATCCAGCAGAACGCTGTGAGTGAGAAGAACTAGGGCAGGGGGAGGCGTCAGCCTAAGAAGTCCATCTTGGTGACAGTAACCACGGCAGCCACGGAGCGTTACGCTTCCCCTGTGTTCGGCCTCATGCTGAGGACTCTGGGTGGATTAATGAATTTATTCCCCATGACCACCTGGTTAGGAGCCTCATTTCCCGGAAAGGGAAACGGAGGTATAAACAGAGGTCAGTCACGTGCTATGTCACAGAAGAAGGAAGGAGCCAGGCTGGGAACCAGGGCCTTTGGACTCCACGCCCTGTGCTTCTAAGTATCCTGTCACATGCACCTCCTACAAACGGCCTGGCCCAGGGGCTGCAGTCCCATCCACGGGCCAGGACACTCCCTCCTGGGGCTGTGACTGGGGGGGCTCTCCAGCAGCCTGGCTTTGGCTCCGGTTGCCTTTCCCCCCACTCCCACGTCCACTTTGGGCAAATCCGCACACTCGATTGAGTTACCCCGGTGTCTTGCTGGCCCGGGACTGGTCCTCAGACACCTGCTGTCACTCGCCATTCATGTTGACTTGGGGGTTCAGCTCTCAGGTGTCGCCCTCCTGGCCTTGCTCAAGGGGCTCCCTCACATTCCTCCTTTCCTTGGACAAGAGCACTGGTCTCCATGAGAGTAGCCGAAGGTATCATGTGATCACGTGGCCATTTGCATAGGAATGCTAAGCAATGGTAGAAATGGAAAGACTAACTTGAATGCTATTTATTTGCAAATAGCAGGAGACACTACAGGGAGGGAGAAAAAGACCAAAAGGGCCTATTTAAGGAAAGAGAGAGAGGGAGCTCCAGAAAAAGCTCACTTTTAGAAACATCCTCGTATTTCTTTTATTGGAAAAATAAGCAAATTTTCTACCCAAAGCTGTCCTCTCAGATAAGAATTCAAGGACAAACAAAGGGTGTTGAGGTATTGCTCATAGGCGCTGGGTAACCTTAGGAAACAAACCAGATACAGCCAGCGGTCCAGATTGCACGGTGAATACCCTCCCCTTCTTTTGCACGAAGGGGGCTCGGGTGTGTCTCCCTCACACCCCTGCCCCCCCACCTCAGCCTCACGCTTGGTTCTCTCTACTTGCGATTAAGACTCCTACCTTGTGGGAGTCATGTATGAGGCCCCGGAGCATGCCTTTTAGGAGAAAATTACCCTAAAACAGCTCTTCCTATGAAGGCACTAGTCTCAGCAGAAGGTATGGTATTGAGACGAGAAAAGTGATTGCCTATGGACTAACCCAGCGGTCGGCAAACTCATTAGTCCACAGAGCCGAATATTAACAGTACAAGGACTGAAATTTCCTTTGAGAGCCACATTTTTTTAAACTTAAACTTCTTCTAACGCCACTTCTTCAAAGTAGACTTACGCAGGCCGTGGTATTTTGTAGAAAAGCCACACTCAAGGGGCCAAAGAGCCACATGTGGCTCGCAAACCACAGTTTGCCAGCCACGGGCTAAACACTTCCATGATCATCCTTCATATCCTAAAGCCACGGCCCTCGGCATTACAATGGCCTTCCTCGGCGAACTGTCAGAGCTTCATGTGAGGTCCGCAGCTCCTCTGAGGCCAGAACGTAAGGCAACGTTTTTAAATGTCCAGCTCTTAAGCATTGTGCTTCTGAATACAGCAAGACGCAGCCTGGGCGCGTGGCTGGACCCGGCCATGGGCTGTCCTGTAGCAAAAGCAGCCGCCATAGCTGGCTGCCGAGTTTCCCGGTCTCTCCCGTGGGCCCAGGAGGCCTGCAGCGGAAACACTGCACCACCGAGGGCGCCGAGGCCCTGACCGGGGGCACATGGCAGGCAAGTAGCAGGGAAAGGTCAGGTCGTGTCCTGCAAGGATGGCCATTGGAGGCCTCCTCGGCTTCCCTGCTGACCGCCCCTCTGCTGCCCTCGGTTCACAGCTGCAGAGTCATCTGAGGGCATCGGCCTTCCCAGAGGCAGGCACCGGCTTTTCACGAAAGCCAGCCAGTGTGGCCCACGACCACAATCTAGGTCGCGTCTCTTGAGAATTGGTCTAAAAATGTTTGCAGAGACACAGCTCTGCTCTGGGACTAGGAACTCGGCGATCGTTTAATAACAGTCACAGCAGCGGCCGCCAACGCTAACGGAGCCCTCCCCATACAAGGGACACTTCACATACATGTGCATGCGTGTATCCAAACGTCTGTCGGTGGATTTGCCTTCTTTTTCTTCCCTTCTATCTGAGGAGAGCGAGGCACAAGGAAATTAAGTAACTTGTCCAAAATCACACGGATGGTAAGTATAATGCTTAGATGTTTAACTTAGAAAAGGAGAGAGATTTTAATGGAAGTCTCAACAACCACTGCCACTGCGTCTTCGTCCAGGCTGCCGTGACAAACAGGCTGGACTGGGTGACCTAACGTTTCCCTCTCATGGTGCTGGAGACGGGGAAGTTCAAGGTCACGGTGCTGCCCACTTGGTGGCTGGCCACAGCTCTCTTCCTGGCTTCTAGCTCTGTTCTACTCTGGCAGGGAGAGAGGGGTGGAGAGACGGAAGGGAAGCAAGCTCTCTGGTGTTTCTTATGAAGTCACTAATCCCATCGTGAGGGCTATACCTTCATGACCTAACCACCTCCCCAAGGCCCAGATCTCCAATCTTAGCAAAGAAAAAAAAAAAAAGAAAGATGAAAATAGATGTGTATGCGCACACACAGAAAGCATACGTGGTGAGATGGTAATAATTAGCGAATTTAATATACAGCCATTCACTGTACTGTTCTTTCAACACTGTTGTTTGACATTTTCAAACCGACCAAACCTGCAAAAAGTTGGGCAAGGTTATGCCAGAACCGGTTTGGCTCAGTGGATAGAGCATCATCCCACGGACTGAAAGGTCCCAGGTTCGATTCCGGTCAAGGGCATGTACATTGGTTGCAGGCACATCCCCAGGAGAGGGTGTGCAAGAGGCAGCTGGTCGATGATTCTCTCTCATCGATATTTCTAACTCTCTATCCCTCTCTCTGTAAAAAATCAATAAAATATATTAGAAAAAAAAAAAAGATTAAGTCGGAATGCCCGCCGGTTCCAGCCACGCAGCTCCTAAGAGCTCTCTGTAGGGATCCCTCTGGGCTTGCGGGAAGCCACCAGGTGAACCAACCTGAGTGCTTCCCCTGGGGATGCTAACGCAAGGCCAGCCTGTCCAAACACATCTCAGGAGTGGGAAGGGGCGTGAGCAGCCCGGGGAAGCAGCTGGTGGCTGAGAGCCTCGCCCTCCCAGGAGGAAACACCAGCATTGACTAAGCGCCTTCCCGGGCCAGGCCCCTGACTGGATGCTTCCCTGAATGTTATTGCATCACAGCCACCCTTTTAACTGGCTGGGCGGAGCTGCGCTGGCCTGTCCGAGGTCACAGGGCTGCCAAGTGGCGGATACTCGCCCTCAGCTTGGGCGTGTCCCACCTCTCCCTTCCCCAGCCGACTCCTGGCGCTGGTCCAGGAAGGTGACAGGCGGGGTCACAGCCTTCTCCCTTTCCTGGCCCACGTGTGGCTAATGTGCTGGCCAGGAGTTGAGGCTGCACCATGGTGGCCCTTGGACACCCGTGCTTCCCGCAGCGTCCCTGGCACCGTCGGGGGCGAGGGTCTGCCATTGCTCCCTGGAGCCTGCCTGTCCCAAGACCCAGGTAATGGCTGGAAATGAATATGGCAGCAGGGAATCTGGCTGAACTCCCCTGCCTTAAAGTGAAGGATTCAAAGGGCAAGGATGGAAATGTCCCCTTCCAGATGTGTTCGGATTGGGCGTGAGACGGCCAGACAGGCGTGCGACTTGACTGCGCTGCCCTTTCTCGTCCTTCGCCCCTGGCTTTTCCTTCCTGGCCCCAGTTCTTTCCCATCACAGACCTGTCCTCGCACCCCTCCCGCAGTGCCACAGTTTGTGGAAGCGCCCATCCCTAGCTGTTGTCTTCCCGAAGGGCGTGCCCAACACCCACCCATTAGATGTTTGCCCAATCCTTTGCAAAGGAAACGGGAAAACCTCTCAGCCAAAAGGAAGTGGCACTTGGCTTGTACCAGAGGAGGGTGTGCCCATTGCCCGTGCAGAGGCACCTGCTTCCAGGTGATGCCTGGAATGTTGGCAAGGGATGTATCGACTTGGTCTCCTTCCTAGAGTGGACATCCCAAATATCAGGTGTCACGTGTCGGGGTGATCCCTTCAGCAGACAGTACCCGGCCTGCTTCCCCAGTCTTTTTTTTTTTTTTTTTTTTAATATATTTTTATTGATTTTGGAGAGGAAGGGAGACAGATAGAAACATCAATGATGAGGAAGAATCATTGATCGGCTGCCTCCTGCATGCCCCCTACTGGCCATGAACCTGCAACCCAGGCATGTGCTCAGACCCAGAATGGAACTGTGACCTCCTGGTTCTTAGGTCAATGCTCAACCACTGAGCCACCCCAGCCGTGCCTGCCTCCCCAGTCTTATCCCTTATACCCTCCTCGCCCGTGTCCCTCCACCCCTTGACACTGTGTTCCTATTGTAAAGAAAAGCCAGTGCTGTTCTCCATGGGGGCTGCCTCCCACGCCTCACCTCTGCTCCCCTGGCCCCTGCTCCCTCAGGAGAACCTTCCCAGTGTCTCTCAACACTTCCTGCCTTGCAAACGTGACCACTTCTCCCCCTGCTCTTTACAACATTTGTAATGGGATTCCACTTAGGTTAGTTTATATGTTGGTTTC